GAGATAATTTATTAGTATAAACCATATTATTACTATAAACCATGATTTAAAAGTCTAAAAATTATCTAGTGCTAGTGAGACTTCATTGCAGTGGGAACTCTCATACACTGTCTTGGGCATGTATATTAATATAAATACTTGGAGGAGTAATTTGGCAATATCCAGTAAATTTTAAAATATGCACACTATAACCTTGTACTGTTTAATGTAGCTGTTGACTATGAAAATGCGACTAATCTAAATTGTGATGTGCTCATAGTGTTAAACATTTTGAAAATTTAGAGCAAAAAATACTCTCACTAGTATTTGTTATATTAATTCAATATGTTCCAACCTTGACACTATTAACACCTAAGACGGGATCGATAATTTCATTGTTGGAGGTTATCTTGCACTGTATGATATTTAGCAGCGTCCCTGGCCTCTAGTTAGTCATGATTTAAAGCATCTAAAACATCTTCCCAGTCATGATAATCAAAAATGTTGGCAGACATCGCCAAATATCACCTGGGGACAAAACCAACCCTGGGTGAGAACAAGTTTTAATTACTTGTTGAAATGAAAAACTTTAGATATATGGTGTTAAGTAAAATACTGTATTAAAATTAATTTTACTTATTTCTTTTTACTTTCTAATATGACTACAAGAAAATTTTAAATTACATATGACTTGCATTATATTTTTATTGGATGGCATTGTTGCAATCATCAATTTCACTGTTAATTACTCTAACACGATGTTTCTTTAATGCTTAATGTGTGTAGGACTTACCTGAGGATTTTAGAAATTCAGAATATGATTCAGTATATTTGAGATGGGGTGAGATTCTGCATTTCTAACAAGATCCTAGGTGATACCTATACAGCTAATCCACAGAACAAATGATGCACAGCATGGCTTTTGAGAACTTCCCACACATGTGCAAAATAGGACATGAAAAATAATGTTCATGGTGACTCTAGTTATCATACTGATTTTCCATATTTATAAGCTCCTAAGAGAGTAAATCTTAAAAGTCTTCACCACAAGAAAAAATGTAACTATGAATGAGGATAGATGTTAATTATAGACTTATTGTGGTGATCATTTTGCAATATATACAAATAGTAAATCATTATGTTGTACACCTGAAACTAACATGTTATATGTCAATTATACTTCAATAAATTTATTTAAAAAATGTCAATGAAACATAGTATATAGTAATAAAAAATATAAATTAAGTATTCAACCCAAAATTGAATACATAAATTGTAATAAATTCACACTATGCAGTTATATAATATACATGTATGTATGTGTGTTATATATATTTATATATATTCATATATATGAAAATTAATTATCTATATGTTATAACAAAAATATCTCAAAAACACATGATATAAAACACACACATTTTTTAATGTTAAATACATTATGATAAAATACATACAAAGCTTTAAAACACACAAAAGACTAGATTCCATTTGCCCCATAAATATTTAGTAAATTTCTTAAGAAAATATGCAAATATGATTTACAGCAAATTCATGACAGTGGTTACTTCTGGATAGTGCAAGATAGGTTTGGGATCCTGGATGGTTATATACACAGGGGTTAGCACAAATACATATATGCATGATTCAGTGGTGGAATCATATGTAAACGTCATTTGATCTTTCTTATAATCTGAGTCGGTTTTCACTTAACTCACAAATGATATATATTCTCTGTTTTCTGGCTCTCATTGAATCTTAAATACAGTAGTTTAGTTGTTTACCCTTTATTTCACTATCTTCTTCCAACATATGCTCATGATCATTACCCATGCCCAATGGTTGTTAAAAAGCTATCTTCCTAACAAAGGTTGTTCTTGTCCTAACATGAAAGTAGGTGAAAGAAAAGAAACAACAATTTTTTCACTACCAAAAACATCACATCTATGGATCCTAGAGTATCTTGTAGTAATCATATATGTATAATGAACACTTTTGTATAAATAAACATCTTGATATTTTTTCTAATCTCTCACTATTATAAATGCTTACTACCTTACATAACTCAACATTGTCATGATAATTTTTAAATAAATTCCAAGGAAGATGACCATAAGGATAGTAGTTGAGTGCATTTTTAAGATTTTGATATTGTTGTCAAATTTATAATCCAGCTGTGTTACACCACTTTACATCAATTGGTCATATCAGAATGTGACAACTCATAGGATCCACTCTTACTTCCTAATTGGTAAAGTGTTTTGTTCTTATGTCTAGTTCTTTCTATTTAATATATTTTCCATTACTTTCAGATGATCTATTTTTTTAATATAGTAGTGATTTTTTTAGTCCTTCTGCCTATCTTACAGGTAGTCTCATCTATATAAGATCTGGCAGAAATTTCTGGACCGTTGTGGTATGTTACTCCTTATTTTGAATATTTTTTCGGTATCAATACAAGCTGGGAGAAAATTAGATATTTGTCACCCATGCATTTTTTTTCCCATAAGTTTCAAGTGGTTTTATTTCCAAATTAGAAAATATTGGTTAAAGAATTCTTCTGAAAAAAATGTTGAAAGTAGACACTGTTATAATTAATAACATGATAATAACTGACAATACAATGGAGAAGTTAAGAACAACTAAATCATAGTTCAAAAAATAATTTTAAAAAGTCAAAAGAAACTAAATGAGGTATAAAGTTTAGAAAATAAGCTAAAACACAGAGAATTAAACATGTATATTATACCAATAAATAAAAATCAGTTGAATTCTTCAGTTTAATTTTATAAATATTTATTAAATACTTGGTTTGTGTCAGGTACCACTAGGTCCTGAGGATTTAGTGGCAAACAAGATAGACACAGGACCTCTGTCTATATTTAATCTAGTACAGAATATATTAAACTAATAATTATAAAGTGATGTATGCCACCAAAAGAGAAGTTCAAGATGAATAAGGCACATTTCAAATGTTTCCTGAAGAGGTTGGAGAAAGCCTTGACAACATCATCACATATATGTGTTCTTTCTCATTACCACTGATTAGCTATGCATCAGCAAATATCATATTTAATACTGAAATACTAGGAAGGAACACATTTAATGTAAGAAATATAACAAAGATGACTGCTGCCATCAGTAACATTTTTATATGTGCTTCATCAAGACAAAAGGTACAAAGAACAATTCAATATTAATCTTGTGGGAAAGAAGCAGGCTGATGAAATATTCACTTATTTCAGAAATTTAAAAAAGATGAAGAGCTTCAATAGTACTAATTGTAGTACTAATACAATATCAACACACATATTTTATGGTATTACCCTATTCAGAAGGCTAGGTTTAAAAAAACAAACAAATAGTGAACAAGGACTTTTCAGTCTGGTGAATGAAAACAGACAATAAATTACTGCTTTATAATGTTAAGACTATCACAAAAATGAACATAGAGTTTCATGGTAATAGGAAGGCCAGCTAACCACTTTGTAAGTGGATCAGAACAAGGCTTCCCAGAAGATGTTGAGAAAGACAAAATAAGAGCCCTGTAGGATAAAAATGTGTAGATGGAAAGATTTTTCTGGACAGCAGAATTATTGATTTAAAAATACAATGTAAGAGAGGCCTTCACATGTTCTACATGATAAGAAATTAGTGTGCCTTCACATTTTATACATTATAAGAAATTAGTGTGGCTGAAGCATCCAGTAGGAGACTGGAGAATAAGACATTAGTTTTGAGATGCAACAATAGTTGAATCATAAAAGGAATTTAGACTTTTTCCCTGAAAACAAAATGATTATTAGCAATGGAGAGATATTATCAAATTTATGTCCCAGAAATGCATTCAAAAGTTAAAGTTCATGCTTAAGAGTTATTGCAGTACTCCAGGTCACAAATGGCTGTGACCACAACTAGGATAGTGACAGTGAGGTTGGGGGTGGGGTGGGGGAAGAGACTGAATTGTACAGATAATAAGGCCATAGAACTCATGGATTAGAGAAGAGCAAGCAATGAGAAAAACAGTCAAACAAGACTCCATGATAGATGTTGGTACATAAATGGAATCTGAGAACACAGGGGCAAAGAATTGTAAATGTAAAGATATAAGTAGTAAATGTAATGATGATAAATTTTGGTTTGGCCATGTTGACTTTAAGATGCCTGTGCAGTGTTCCAGTTGGAAATACCCACTATGTAATCTGGTGATCAGAAAAGATGTGGGGAGAGAGACAGAATTGTATGCAGGTGATACTAAATCTAGCCCTTAGAGATGCAGCTAATCACTTAAGGTGAGTGGGTAAGATAGCTCCCTCCTCTTCCCACTACCAGTAGACCCAATGGAGCAAAGACATTTTTTGAACATTTTTATTAACCCACTTTGAAACTGATTAACAGGTGACTTTGGAGCTCGTTATTTAAATATTGGCACAGTCAGCATGAGGTAGGATTATCTGTACCAGTTAGTTAGTTATTCTCTCCTGAGATTTGTTAACTAAGTTTGAATAAATCATTGGATTTTAGAGTATGGAATATTAGCATAGAAGAATTTTCCCTAGAAACATATAACTGAAAAGATTACTCTCTATAAATTCTTACCCATTAAAAATGGTCTGAAATTTCTTTAAAGATAGGAAAACAGATTAGCATACATAGCTTAAGGATATTGTTATTACCATGTTTTATGAGGAAAGAGAATAACAATGAGCTAGGTATTATTCTAGGCAAAACAGATAAGGTATTTCTGGTCTGTAGCCAATCATGATTAATTTAACAATAATTATATAATGGCTACTATATGCCAGGCATTTGGTTAAAAACAAGAGATTCAGTTTTAGTTTCTAGGGATCACAGTTTATTATTTAACTAGGAAATAGTTCCCCTTAACTAGGTGCATCATCAGCTTAAATATTGAGTTCCATTCAGTCCTTACTAAGAATTTTAATAAGCATGATAAGAAATCAAACTCTGATCTCAAACAACCAAGAGGATAATTGCTTTCAAAGAAACAAAACATTAATTTAATCAAGATTTCTCTCATTTACTTTTTCTGGAAATTTTTGAACTATTTTTGACCCTTTTGGCCCTTTCACTATGGTACTATTCCTCATAGAATTTGTTTGGGGAAGTGGTGAATGACTTTGATGTGTTTTTCCAGAAAGTAGCTGGTAATTTTCACTACATATAAACTCAAGCCAGGAGATCCCTGGAGGCAACCGGTGATAACTAACTAACTTAGTGAACACACTACCTGACAGGGTAGGTGTGGCAGACTCTTTGTAAGGAAAGGGTGAGGAGTGTGCAATGAAAGAGGAAGAAGAGGAAGAAGATGATGAGGACAAAGATATGGAAGAGGGAGAAGATCGGAGCCCAGTCTGTGGCTGAGAATTACTTTTCTTAATATAAAGCAGCCAGTCAATAGCTTGGGGCTGTTGGCTTACAACTTTGTTTTCAGGGGCTACTCTCAGACATTTTTTCTTCTTATTAAGCCCATGGGTGTTATCCGGTTCAGTAGGAAAAAACTGTGATGTCTTCTCCATTCCTTCAAGGTTGTCTTCAAGGGCTTCATTAGGTTGATTTTTTTTCACAAGGAATGGGAAACAAGATAAGAAAGGAGTCTCTGGTAAAGAAAGAATAAAAACTAATTTCACCTCTATTTTCCCCTCAGAACTGGGCTCAGGTGTTGGTATGACAGATAGTATTGCACAACGAGGATCTTTTTTTCCTGTAAGATGACTGCAGTGAGTTTTTATGCAGGAAGCACAAGCTAAACAAACCATGTAACTTGATGAAAGGCGAGGACCAGGATGAGGATTTGGCCTTCCCCTCATCCTTCGAAAGAGAATTTGCCTACAGAGATCCCTTTGGATTCTGGTCCTGGAGAGAGAATTGATAATTTTATTTACTACATCATCAGGGATAGTCCCACCTTTAACAATGCAAGGATACATATAATTTAAAGTCCATGGAGTTTCTTTATTTGAATAGGTCTTTGCATAAAGATCAAAGAAATTTTTGCTCTGGAATCTGGAGTCCCATTTTGTAGCAGCTATTTTCCTGATGCAGTATTTGGAGCTTGATAATGGTTGACCTGAGATATTTGGTTTGAAATGGGGTGAAGACACTTCTGTGACTTTGTGTTTGTCACTTGTTGAAGTGGTGTTTTGAAACTTGGAGTCACAAACTGGTGAGCCCAGGGTCCTAAAGGCATGATCCGGTGTAAGCTCTCTTTGGGATTTGGGTTGAAACAATGAGAAATTCTGAGTATGGTGAACAGAATACGGTAAAGACGGTTTCCCTGGTTTTGAGTTTGATAATGGTAAGCTCAGAACACCAGGATTAGCGCTTAATACAGGTGGTGTCTGAGGTTTTGAGTTGGGTAAAGGTGAGCTAAAAGCCATTTGATTAGACTGTAATAAAGGTGATAACTGAAGCAAGTCATTTGTTTGAGGTGTAGAGGTGAGTGATGGTGAGCTCAAAGATCTTTGATTGTTCTTTAATAAAGATGTCCAAAGGCTATGAAATGAAGGTAATTTCTGAAGCTTGGACTGGGATGATGTTGAGCTAGGAGATCTTTGATTGGATCTCAAAGTTGATGTCCAGAGAATGTCTTGAGAAGGTGTTTCTTGATGATTGAAAGACAATAATGATGAACTTGAGGTTTTCTGATTAGACTTCAGTGGTGGTGATGTCCAGCAAAGGTCTAAGGAATTTGCATTTTGAGGTTTGAGGAGGAATAACTGTGAGCTCAAGGTTGTTTGATTGGGCTCCAGTGATGGTGATATTTTGCTGAGGTCCAGTGAAGATGTCTGTGGTTTGGCGAGGGAAAAAGATGAGCTTAGATCTCTCCAATTAGACTGCAATGAAGTTCTCTGCTGGAGGTCTAGAGAGGGTGGAGCCTGATGTTTGGACTGGGATCTTGGTGATTTCAAAACCCGGTTATAGCAGCCCTGCAAAATTGTGTCTTGAGACTTGTCAGAAGATCTCTGCACCTTCTGATTAGAATTTAGTGGAGTTGCTGCAAGGTAATTACTATCATATTGTATTCTGACCACAGAATGATTATTGAGTTGATTTAGATGTTCACCTGTGTATTGATGTGTTAATGAGTTGTTTGTGGCCAGTTGGTAAGAATGTTCTAAAGACACAAAGTGTTGATCATAATATGCTAGTGGCACCATTTTGTGACAAGGTACAGGTTTTTTTGAAGCAGTTGACAGTAGGGATGTTTTAGTAACTGGTAGAGTCCTTTAGGTGGATTCCATGGACAGCAGATACTTTAAATAAAATTTTTGATAGTTTCTAACTTCTATTTTGTAAACTTCCCAAATATTATTGTGTCTCAAAATTGAGTCATAGATGTGGTTGAGAAAAAGTGTCACAATTTGAGATTTTTTTCCTGTCTTCGTAGTTTCATAGAATTTTTTTCTGTCTTCTTCTTAGTTTCCTAGATTTTTTTTCCTCTTCAGGAAGTAATTCCTGTTTAAAAAGAAATAGTAAAGAGAGTTCAGAAGAGCTCCTGATATGGATATTAATTTTATCAAACAATATGTCACAGTGACCAGAGCTCAGGCTTTATGCTTAATCTCACCCACTTACTCTGTGTGTAACTTTTGAATCAAACATTCTAAACCCAGCTGCCCATCTGTAAAATAGCCAAATATAATATTTAATGTATTGGTCTAAAGACTAAAAAAGATAGATAGATAGATAGATAGATAGATGATAGATAGATAGATGATAGATAGATAGATAGATAGATAGATAGATGATAGGTAGATAGATTAGATGATAGATTATATATAAATAAGAATATATATAGTGTAACAGTGCCCAGGATAGAAGTACTCTTTTAATAATTGATTTAGTAAAAAACAATGTGATATGTTTATTGCATAAAATAAGAGTATCTTAGAGAAAAGTGAAATGGAACTTCTGAAATGTTGGGGGTTTTTTTGTTGGTGGTTTTTTTTTTTTTTTTTATCCTCACCCGAGGACATTTTTCCATTTTTTTGTTCAGATAGAGCGGGAGGGAGAGAGAGGAAGAGAGAGAGAGGGAAACATCGAGTGGCTGCCACCTGCACGACCAACCAGGGCCGGGGACAAACTGCAACCAAGGTACATGCCCTTAGCGGGAACCGAACCCGGGTCTCTCCGGACCGCAGGCGGACGCTCTAACCGCTGAGCAAAACTGGCCAGGGCTGAAATGTTGGTTTTTAATTTCAATTTGATTATCCATCATTATCATCTGTTAGCTTACTTCCAAAAGTCCAAAATTCTAGTTGAAAGTCTATTGTATATTTTTAACCTTGTTCTCATTTGTCACTATTACAGCTTTGAAACTGTTGAATGCTACCTTTTAAAATTAGTGCCTTCATTCACGTCCATTATTTATCTCTACTAGGATCTCTCCATTCATTTTCTTATTTCTCTGTAGGACTTCACTGAATTCTTATTCTCTCGCCTCAATGTAATTCTCAGAGTTATATCACCAGTTCTCTTCTATTTTTATTGTATCCCTAAGTATCACATTAGTTATGTTTAGAATTTTTAAATTAACTGTAGAAACTTTATATAAAACAAAACCTTGCATCTGGCCAAAAGTAACGCAGGCATTTCCCACTCAGGAAAGAAAGACATGCTGCTTCTTAAAAGGCAACACATAATATGACACTATTTTTGTGCATTTTTTTTTCATGGTGTAAGGCTAAAACACCAAATATGACACACCGAAAAATAAAGAGTAATTGCAGTAGATCCTGGGATTAGCCAATTACATTATTGGATTTAAGGCCCCTGAAGAGTGAAAACTGTCAAAATTTGGTTTCATGATTTTTTTTCTACACTCCTATGACTTACCACCCAGTTTCTGATGGACAAATTTATTCCTCACATATGCCAATTTATCCAATTAATTGGCTATAAATTCTCATACTGCTGGAATATCTTACATACATCAAGGTGTGTTTTTACACATTTAATCTTATTTATATTTTTAAATGCACCTTATTGGTATCTCAATTTACTTGTTTTTAAAGCTTAAGTCATATTTTATGGAATTCTCCAAGTACCAACAATATTATTTTTATACCAATGAATTTCTAGTCTATTGCTTCTAGGCCTGGTTTTCTTTTTAGCTTCAAAATTATATTTCCAACTAGTCATCAGATTTTCCTATCCAATATCCCAAAGAAAATTCAAACACAAAACATTTAATAAAGTTATCTCCCACTCTAGAGAAGTTTTCTTTTTCTATCCTTTTTATCTTACTTTCTAAAACTTAGTCATCTAATTTAAAATCTCTGAAATCATCCTGGACAGCTTAATTCTCCAAAATTATTTAGACACCAAGACCTGTTGATTTTGCCTCTTCCATATCTTAATCCACCTTTTCTATCCAATTCAGCTCTTTTAGTGTATACTATAGGTATATCTCATCTAGATCAATATATTATTATATTAATCTATATATTATCTTTCCCTCATAACTGCACTCACTCTCTTCCTTCTCCTCTGCCAGATATCCAAGAGCAAACTCTTGCTGGTGATACACAGCCTCTGCTCACTCAGGGATTTCCTTTGCTTTGCTTATTTCTGTATGAGTTATGAACACTGAAATTACTTATGATTGCTGGATTTTGCATGATCTGATTTGACATCCAATGATCAGCACAGCCCACTGTATACTGTGTGGCACCTTAACAAGTTTCTAAAGGTAATATGGAATAACTCCCTGACCTTAAGGTATGAAAAGATTTAATAAAATATAAAAATAATAACCATTAAAAATCAATAAATTAAAAATCAAGGACTCTCGATCATCAAAAGATAGCATTATTTAGAAAGAATAAAGCAAATAAAAAATGTGAAAGAATATTTATAATACATATGTCCAAAAAAAGACTGATATCTATAATAACCTTTGCATGTTGCTAAGATAAAAAACAGGCAATGCAGTTAGAATGATGGGCAAAACACTGGAACAAGTACTTCACAAGTGGGGATATCCAAATGCTAATAAATATATGAAAAAAAACTCCTCCTCATTTAAAACCAGTGAAGTGCATATTTGAACCACAGAGAGATACTACTACATACTATCAGAATGTGATTAAGTTAAATTGAAACTGACAAAGCCAAGATTTAGTGATTATGGAGATTAATTAGTATGTCATATTACATACAGACATATGTATGTTTTACAGTCCACTTCTAGGTACATTCCAACAGGCATGCAATGTATGAATATTTATACAAATATATATATACTAGAATGTTTATTGGAGTGTTATTTCTAATAGCTCCAAACTAGATTGACTGTTAATCAATAGCAGAATATATAACTAAGTTGTGATATATTCATTCAATAAATACCAAATAACATAAAAATTAACAGAAAGTCTAGCACCATGCTACTACATGGAAAAATCTCACCTAAAAAATGTTGTATAAAAAAAGTCAAATGCAAGAAAATACTTTATTATTTTATATATGAAAGTACAAAATAAGTTCATGCTTACTATGGTGTTAGTAGTCAAGATAATAATATATTTGAGGATGTAAAGATTAAGATGGAACATTATGCTTCTGGGATGGTGATAATGTTCTGTTCCTTGACCTGGATGATGATTGTATGAGTGAATTCATGGTATGAAAATTGAGCTCAAACACTGATACTATATGTATTTTTCTATGTTTCTTAACTTCAATAAAAGTTTTAAAATGCATAACTTGATGCAAATTTGAAAAGACACACCTGACACAAAATTGCAGTGAAAGGGGAAACACTGAAGAATGAACCAAGTTCAGGCCTAGAGTTTCAATAAAACTTCAAACAAACAAACAAACAAACAAACAAACAGGGGAAGAATACAATGTGGAAATCCTGCTAACATGCGGAGAAAAATAAAGGAATTCAGAAAAAAACTAAAACTAACAAAAATTTATTTAAGACAAAAATAAATAAATAAGAAAGAAAAGTAACATTTCTAAATTTTTCCACTTTTAGACTTAGCAAATGACATTCTCATTTTAAGGAATATGTTTTCCTAAAAACTATAAATATTAGAGATAACTCAAGTAGTGGTAAAAATTTGAATGAAGGTATAACTATGGAAAAAAATACAGCACTTATGAAATAATTAACTTCAAATAGTCTCTGTGCCCAAATTCTTATTATAGTAGAGATTGTTTAAACTTTCAATGAAGAAATACTTGTTGCACAAACTTTTTCAGAATATAGTAAAATAAAAACATTCTAAATTTTTCTATAAAAATTCTAATAAAAATATGACAAAAATAGTTCAAAATTAAATTTAAAATAATCAACTGTTTTTATTTATTCCATATGCAAAATCCTAAACTAAATAAAACATTTCTTTAACATGACAATAAAATAATCAACTGTCACCAACTTGATCTTATTCAAACAATATAATGATGATTTATTATTAAGAAACATTATAATTTATGTGCACAACTTAAAAATACATTTTAATGGTTGCTTAAAAAATCATTTTGTAATATCCAACCACCATTTCTCATAAAATTTAACAAACTACCAAGAAAAAATAGTTAATGAAAACAAATATCAATCTAAAAGCAAAATAAAATAATTCAGTTGATATTGAAATATGAGATAGTCCCATTATAAATTAATAATAGATAAGCATACCCATTATCAGTACTACAATTTAACATTGCTTAGAAATATTTGGCCAATGCACTAAAGGAAAAATAAATAAAAAATACATAACTATTGAAAACCTAATTTAGAATATATAAAACTAACAGAATCAATAATATAATTTAGAAAGTTTAGTAAAGTCACTTTTTACAAAGTCATTATATCTGAATCACGAATTTTCCTAAATATCAACATTGAACAAGATATATGATCATAAAAATTTGCTTTAACATTTCAATAAAAACACAAACATTTTATTAGAAAAATGAGCAATTACCTAAAAATTTTACAGAAAAGCAATACAAATGCCTAGTAATCAAAGAAAAAAAAAGTTTGCTATTCCTGCCTCTTTTGAAACTTTCATTTCTCTTTCTAATTCACAAATGTTCTTTGCTCCTTCATTCTATTTCTTTTTTCAAAACATATTTCTAATAAATTCAACAATTATAATTGGAAATTGGAATAATTCTTCCACTGATGGATAGAAACAAGCAG